ACGTTGCTGACCCCTGTGCTAAGCCCTGCCACTCTCACAGAGATAGGCACATTCCTGCAGCTTGGAGTTAGGTGGCTGTCTCCGCATGCCATTTGCAAACTAGGGGAAGATAGGGATTCCGTGGTCTAAGTTGGGGTGGGGGAGGGGCTGAAATAAAACCTGGGGGGAAGAGGAGCAGTTACCTGCCTTATAACCTGGTGGAGAAGGTACTTGCTCAAGATGTGGGAGACCCTTGGTTCAAATCCCTTCTCTGCCTGAGAGGGGAACAAGGATCAGCTCCCTCCTAGGTGAGTACCCTAATCACTAGGCTATAGAATCATTCTAACTCTTTCACTGGTCCAAACAACTAACGTGGAATGACTTCGGTATTAAATATAAAGTGGGGGCAGTGGGAGTGACTCTGCAGCCCACTGGTTAGGGCCAGGGCCGGCTCCAGGGTTTTGGCCGCCCCAAGCAGCCCCCTCCACAAAAAAAGCCGCGATCGCGATCTGCGGCGGCAATTTGGCGGGAGGTCCTTCGCTCCGAGTGGGAGTGAGGGACCATCCGCCGAATTGCTGCCAAATAGCTGGACCTGCCGCCCCTCTCCGGAGCGGCCGCCCCAAGCACCTGCTTGCCAGGCTGGTGCCTGGAGCCGGCCCTGGTTAGGGCACTCATCTGAGAGGCAGCTGATCCCTGTTGAAATCCCTTCCCCCCCTCAGGCAGATGGGGAATTGAAGTGGGGGGTTCTCACAGCCCAGGTGAGTGCTCTAACCACTGGGCTAAAGGTTACAAGGAGGGTCTCCTTCCCAGGCCATTTTGTGTGAACTCACCTGAGGAGCTTGGTCCAGTAGCCAGACTGAGAATGCCTGCTGGGTCAGGCCCCACAAGTGAGTTAGGCGGATGAAAGTTTATCTTTCCTGGTTTCAATTGTGCTGGGGCTTAGGCAGCAAATCATAGGTATCTGAGCGCCTATGGTGAGGCTGCAGCATACATGCCCACAAGCAAAAACTTGGGTGCTGAGTTAGTTTAGGTGCCTACAGGGTGTGGTGGCAGCTGAGCAGAAATTTTGTGGGTTGCAGAAGTGCCTAAAAATGGGACTTATCCAGGAAGGTATAGGTTCCCAACACTTGTGGTGCTTATTATGTAACATTATTCACCTTTTCCCTCATACTCTATAGCCATCCCTTACTTTGAATTACTCCTGCAAAATATCTTGTTGCTACAGAGCGAACTTCCATCTACTTAGGGTACTTATATAACCCCATAACTGTTGCTTCTTTGAGCCTAACAATCTATAGTTGTCCTCACAACACACCTCTCAGGTAGGAAAGTACATTCATCCCTGTTCTGCAGATGTGGACTCAGGCACAGAAAGGCTAAGTGACTTGCCCATGGTCCCACAGGAAGTCTGTAGCAGAACAGGGACTCGACTCCAGGTGATAGACTAACTACTGCACTATCCTTCCTCTTTAACTTCTGATCCTAGGGTCTTGTAGAATCTAACTTTAGCCATCTGACTTAGGTAAACAAATCCTGCATCTTGTCAGGGGGTTAGACTAGATGAACCTTTTAGCCCCTTCTAACCCTATGATTGTATCATTCTGTGATTCAAACCTAACTATAAACCAACCACATGGAAAATAAAACAGCAAGGTTTCTCTTTGTCAGGAACAGAGGGTTTTTTAATTTTGAAGGAAATGTCATGCCACCTTTCACACTTTTCCTTGCAGAATTTCAGCAGTGCAATGTACATACATGCAACCAGAAAAGAATAACCTCCTGCTCACCCTGATTACCTATGGATTGCTTCTCAGAATTGACTCTCCCGCTCATCTGTCCACGTGATCACTCTTTCATTTTGCTTTCCTGCTACTCTGTCTGCCCTCTGACTAGTAAGCATTCTTTCTTTCCCCAGCTCCTCAACCTACTCTGCTGTTCAGGTGTTTAAAATTTACTTCCATTATATTCCCAGCTCTTCTTCTTCTGGAGGACCGTTTAAAAATGTCTTTAGGGGAAAGATGGAGAGGAAAGCAGACTGGGTGTATATTGCTTATAGCAGGCTCAGCAAGAAACCCTTGTGGACACTGTGGAAGTGTAAAGCAGTCTTGAAGAGGATAACTTAATACAAACCTGTCTTATTATCGCTGGTAACAATATTTTGTTTCTTGAAAACACAACTAGACTAACCCAGTAAAGCCTGATCTGTTGGCTGCCCCTTCTCCAAGCACTTGCATATTAAATCACAATACAGCTCTCACAAGCTCTTGGGTGGTGTTTCATCTACAGTAAAGACATTCAGAATGCTAAAAGACTTCCCATAACTTGCCCCTATATATCTAGGAATTGCAGGGGTGTCCAAACAGTGAGCTGTGTCACACACCAAACGGTTCAATGCCTAGACACAGTGGGACATGTTGAAGATGACTTGCAGAGAACAAATTAAATGTGTCAAGTGGTAAGAGTTAGAGGGGCCTTTGGCACAAAAGTAATAAATAATGCCACCTTTATTTTTCTTTGTAAGCTTAAAATTATTTATTTGCCAAAAGCCCTCGCCCCCCACTACACCCTGCACTTCTTGGCACATCAGACATATAACTTTACATTTAGATAAGTGCAACCTCCAAGTGCATTTTTAAAAACTTATTTCTAAATGTTTTGTGGGCTTTACTCAAACCAGTGGCATAACTTTTTGTCCTGCCTTCTTATGGGTTTATTTACATTTTTGAACCTCTGTCAGGGTGGGGGAGAGGGGAAAGAGGGGAAGTAAACTGAATCATATTGGACCTGCTTTGGCAAAGCACTTAAGCACATGCTTATCTTTAAGTATATGCTTAAATGCTTTGCTGAATTGGAGCCTCTGCTAAACTAAATACTTGTTATAGTATAAAGGTACTTCTCACACTCTGCAGCATGCACATAGGGATTCTTTACTGTAAATTCAGTAAGGCCCTTAAATCTACCCAATGGCATACTTCTACATGATGAACTAATAGCTAGCCAGGTTTCACTTTAAAAGCCATAGCTGTCACTATATCAAAGAACATTAGCAAACATCTGAAACCCTTAATGGGAGAGGAAGAATGGTCCAGTAGTTAGGGTACCAGTTTAAGAGTTGAGAAATGTAGGTTCAGTTCCCTGCTTTATCACAAATTTCCTCGGTTATCTTGGGTAAGTCACTTTGACATTCTATGCCTCAGTTCCCCATCTGTACAATGGGGATAATAGCACTTCCCTACCTCACAGGGGCATTGTGAAGATAAATACATGAAAGATTGTGGGGTGCTCAGATACCATGATGTTGGGAATAACTTAGAGGGTGGAATTTTTTCCAAATTTTTATTGCAGCACGTAATTAGCTTCTCTCACACAAATCATATTTTCATGTGAATGCACATATCACATTTTATGAGTTTGGAGTGAAATCGATAGTCTGCTCTTAAACCTTTAAGTTAGGATCTTGTAATGCAAGTGAGTGACAGGACTTCAAATTATATTGTCATAGGTTAACATCATTGCACTCAACTGATGCACTTGAACCTATAGTGACCCTGTAAGAAACATTTGGGTCTACACAGATGAAACTGAGTCTTTTTTGCACTTCCAGGGAAGGGAAATCAAGTGACTGAGTTTGGTAATCATTACAGTATATAGTATTTTTACTTGTTATCACAAGAAGACAATGCATAACCAATATTAAACCAGCACACATACAGCAGATAAAAGCAAAGATTAATCTTGGTAGGATTAGAGAATTTACATTGATACGATGTTTAGAAAAAAAGATATGGGGGGGGGGGGAGTGTTATGGTGGGGGGGAGTTAACTTGTTCCAGAGACTCGTTAAAAACCCTGACTGGTAACTTCAAAAGCCTTGGGAGACTTTCGTTGCACCTGGAATCTGCGTTTCGATTACTGAAATAAAAGATGTCTACTCTAGTAGCCTAGTCTGTACTTTAATTAAGGGCTTTGTATTTAAATATAGCCATACAATCCCCTAAGGTTATTTTTAAAGTAAGCTGCTGGCAGGACAGCATTATGGTAGATTACAGATTCAGGGTATCAAGAAAAATCAGCACTTCAACATGCAATTTAGAGGATAATGTGTGTGTCTGTAGATACAAACAGTGGTGTGCGTGTATGTATAATGTTTATATGCGTATGTACGCAGGTTCATGTAATAAGATATAGGACGAGATTTATCAAAGACAAGATGGGCGGATTTTCCTGTTTTGCTAACCTCTAGATATCTGTACTGTATATTTGTAGTCAATAGAAAACGACCAAATAGTACATATGTAAACCCTGTAAGAGCACAGTTGACACTGAAAGTTCCACTTTTCCATACATGTAAAAACCTCAATTATTAAAAAAGTGATTTGGTTGCATCTAGTACTGAATAGGCATTGTTAAAATACCCCCACTACCTGTCATCCTTGTGGCACACAGGTTGCCAAGAGGGATACATGATCTGGAAAGTAGCAGTGCTAGGGTATGTCTACACTACAGGATTAATCCGAATTTAGATAATTCGAATTTGGGAAACAGGTTGTATAAATTCGATTGTGCGCGGCCACACTGAGCACATTAATTCGGTTTTTAACCACATTAATTCGGTGGTGTGCGGCCACACTACCCCATTACTTTAACCACAGTAATTCGGTGGTGTGCGGCCACACTAACCCTAATTCGAATTAACAAAATCGATTTAGGCGCTACTCCGCTCGTCGAGGTGGAGTACAGAAATCGATTTTAAGTGCCCTTTAATTCGAATTAACTGGCTCTGTAGTGTGGACGGGTGAAGGGTTAATTCGGATTAACGCAGCTAAATCCGAATTAAAGTCGTAGTGTAGACCAGGCCCTACACATAGTTTGCCATCTATTGGAGATTAAGAGCTCGGGGGGAAGATTGAGTGGGATCAGATCAACCATATCTAGTGAAAGATGCACACAAACTGTACTGGCTGAAAATGACAAGCCAAATCAAAACTATATTCAATATTCTTAATTGTGACAAGAACTTACAGCTTCCAAATTTTAGCGGGCAAGCATGTGCATCCATGGGGAAGTCTTCGAGCTGCATGGGGCATTCAGCAGAAATGGTCAATCTGTGAGAAGAAAAAAGAAACAAAATCTTCATTTTACTCAGCACTATGCAGGCCTTTCACTATGGTATCTGAGTGCTGACATAAACATACTTTACATGGGGACTTCTGTGAAATCAGAGCAATTCTCTGGTTACATGGGATGTGATATACAATATGGATAAGTGCTTGTGACATGGGCTTGATCGTTTAACTTTTATTCAGATGAGCAGTCTTTATCTATGTAAGTAATCCCAATGAAATCACTGGTACTATTTGCATGTGAGAGAACTAGTATGTTGTAGCTCATGCCCTTGGTCTGTTTGTGTCTTTAAATTGCAACTAAATGACAACTCCCAGGAGGCACTGCAGCGGTATAGCCAAATCAAAATATCTGGGGTTTTGGATATTTGGTTTCTGAGGAAAATTTCAATTTTTCACCAAAGTTAAAGCAAAAACCTAGATTTCCACTGAAAACCAGTTTTGATATTAAATTTATGGCTAACCCCCCTTGTAAATCCTTCAAAGTAAGAATTGTCTCTTTTCTATGTTTGTACAGCACCCAACATAATGGGCCCCAACCCTGAGTGGGACCTTTAGAAGCTACCAGAATAGAAGTATTTAATAATATGGGTAAGAATAGGAGGATTCAGCTCTCTGCTTCATATTAGGAATGTCCACATGCTCTCCTACATTGGAATAAAACTCAAGACTGTTATGCAGACATTCCATTTTCAGATTCTGTAGGTCAGAGGCACAATGTTTTTATCTCTGTACCATGCTGAAGCCTGTGGAGCACAGCTCTGGTAGCTCAGTGAGAAACCTCTTTCCTTAGAACAAATCTGTGGCTGAGTAAATAGCTCCCTGAAATACAAAAGTACACTTTCCTGTCATGAGAACATGTTCATGCAGCCACACTGCCTGACTATACACTAAATGCTTCATATCACCATGCTGAAGTGCATATTCTGGATACATAGCCTTCTCTCCACAGGGAGAATAAAGTACTGCAGTGATAAGAATGCCCATACCGGGTCAGACCAATGGTCCATCTTGCCCCATATCCTGTCTTCTGACAGTGGCGGGTGCCAGATGCTTCAGAGAGAATGAACAGAAAGGGGATCATCAAGTGATCCATCCCGTGTTGTCCAGCCCAGCTTCTGGCAAACAGAGGCTAGCAACACTCAGAGCATCTGGTTGTATCTGTGATCAACTTGGATAATAGCCATTGATGGGCCTATCCTCCATGAATTTATCTAGTTCTTTTTTTAACCCTGTTATAGTTGTAGCCTTCACAAAGTCATACACATGGCCTTTTGTTCAGCCAGCCCCCTTCAATACAATACACTAGTGCATTACCAGAGTGGTCCATATATCTGACTAGTTTTTGGGGAAACGATCACACTACCAGCCTATGTACCACTGCCTGAAGGTTCTAGAGCTGTAGTTCCTGCAACAGCTTTTTGGAGGTGGAGAGGTCAAGGGGATTAGGATAAAAGATTAACATTCTCTGACCCATCCATTGTGTTGGTACTGTGAGAGGACTGAGACAGTGTAGGATGAGGAGAATGTTAATGTGGGGGAGAAGAGGAACAGGTGTGCAAGGGGAAGAAAAGAAGACAGAAAACAGTGGGGACACATAATTAGGGCCCTACCAAATTCATGGCCATGAAAAACATGTCACAGACCATGAACTCTGGTCTCCCCCGTGAAATCTGTATAGTATAGGGTAAAAGCACACAAAAGACCAGATTTCACGGGGGAGACCAGCATTTCTCAAATTGGGGGTCCGGACCCAAATGGAAGTTGCAGGGACTCACAAGGTCATTTTATGGGGGTTGTGGGGTTGTGGTATTGTTACCCTTACTTCAGCGCTGCCTTCAGATCTGCCACCCTTACTTCTGTGCTGTTGCCTGCAGAGCTGGGTGGCCAAAGAGTGGCGGCTGCTGACTGAGGGCCCAGCTCTGCAAGCAGCAGCACAGAAGTAAGGGTGACAATACCATAACATGTCATCCTTACTTCTGTGCTGCTGCTGGCAGTGGCTCTGCCTTCAGAGCGGGGTTCTCTGCCAGCAGCCACCATTCCCCAGATACTCTGAAGGCAGCGCCGCCACCAGAATCACCACAGAAGTAAGGGTAGCAGTACCACAACCCTGCCTACAATGACCTTGCGACTCCATCACAACTCCTTTTGGGCTCAGGACACCTACAATTACAACACTGTGAAATTTCAAATTTAAATAGCGGAAATCATGAAATTTATGATTTTTAAAATCCTATGACCATGAAATTGACCAAAATGGACCATAACTTTGGTAGGGCCCTATACATAATAGAGATGGAAAGGTAACAACAGCAGTAAAGTGAGAGAGAAAATCCAGCTTGATAGAAATGATACACCATTTCCCAATCACAGACAGGAAATGCTGCTTCTAAGATGGAGAAAGAGCAATAGGTGAGGTTCGAGTCACCTGCCCTGAGGCAAGGAAGTTAAAAAACCCTCAAAACCCAGAAAATAAAATAGAGGGGAAGGCAACATGGTTTTGAGGGTACGGCTACTTTCAACAGCTATCAACCCATCCGGCAAAATGTTTAAGCACATTTTGAACACTAAGCATGGATGTACTTTGTGGGAGTGGGGCCTGTATAAGAAGGACCCCAGCTTTCCCATACTCACAAGTTTTGGACTCAAACCTCCAACAAATTGACTTTCTTCTCTTGGTAACTCTCCTTCCTCTATCTCTTGCATCTCTTCAGAGTTAGAATCCAGATAGCTTCTATGCAAGACTCCAGAAGCCCTATAGCCTCTGCAGGCTCTGGGTCAAGCTAGATGTTGTACTGAGTGAATTTGAACAAAAGCATTTTCTCCCCACCTGTTCTGCAATTGTAATTCTATAACCATCACACATAGAACCATTATTATCTCCAAAGAGAATCATGCACCCACAGCAACAGAACATACCACATCCCCATAGGCAATAAAATGTGTTCTCCTGATAAGTGGTCAGGCCCATATATTCACTCTGTTTCTAATAAACCTCTCTGTCTGGGTCTGTAATTGTAACTGTAATATCTACAGCGAGTGAGCTGTAGTCAGTCCTGTGTTTTGGCAAATTCCATACATTTAACCCAAACCTGTTGGGTCTCAGTGACCTAAAGTCTACAGGGTGGGAAGAGCTGTATTGGGAAAGTTGCCTGCCACACTCCCAACTTACAAGGGACCCAGAGCTGTCTGGCACAGTCCAGACTTGCTGACTCACCTAACCTTTGTCTTGCCTCACCTTCCACGCAGCCTAGAACTAGATCTCTCCTGAGCCCAGTGGCTACCTCAGAGAAGGAGAGAGATGCAAACACTGCCAGCCTTTCTGCAAGGGCAAATCCCACTTGGTTACAACTTCAATCTGCTGCACCAGCAGGAGTGGATCTAGCTGAACAGCCATTCAAGAGGAGCAATTAATGTATGCTGAGGTTGGCTGCTAGGACATCAGTCTTGGCAGTAGCTGTATCCAGGCTCCAGTCCAGTACTTCTCTCTCTCTTCCTTTTTAAAAGTCATTCAAAATAACATGCAACAGGGAGGGATAACAATAAAAGTGGCCTCCCTTCCACATGTTTTGTTCTCTATGTCAAACAAGTATTTCCACACATGAAATTTCTTTGATGTGTTCATAGGACAGCACCTTACTCCAAATGTTGTAATATACCTGAGCTACTTATTTCAGTTCCCCATCTGTCTTTTTATTTAGAACACTTTTCATCTATAGAGTTCAAAGGATGGTAGGTATCTTTATTTCCATTTTAGAGCTAGGTAGGCTTGGCAGGATTAGATTTTTATCAGTAGAAGTTGATTTCACTGTACACACACAAACTGACAAATATTTCCAGACAGTAAGAAAAATGTTGCTTGAGAACTTATTAGAGGTTGATTTAAGGATATTTATGTTGACAATTTGTGTTTTTAACAGTTATCAAACTTCAACTTTTTGAATCGCAACATCTACGGTCATTAATTATTGTCTTCCCTCCACCCGCCCACACATGTTTTGTGACACCCCACCATAATTTCCCACAACTGTGAAATTTTAAATCGATTAAAAATTGGAAAATAAATGCTTCAAAATAAACTGATCTCTGTCAAACTTATTTAAAAAAAATCAAATTCTGCCATGTCTACAGATAGGGAAACTGAGGCACAGGGTGCCAATGACTCATCCATTATCAAACAACAGGGATCAGGGGCAGAGCTGGGAATAGACCTCAGCTCCCTGCACTTCAAGCACAATGCTGTATCCAGTGGCACATGCTACCTCTCCTCTAAAATAACATTTACATTAAATAAAAAAGAGACGACAAGACCCCTACATATCTATATTTTTAAGGAAAGACACATTGGACTCTGATCCATGTATGGTATTAGAACTTGGGCACCACTTAGTGAAACTGCAAGAGAATTTCATATTAGAAACTGACTTCTTGTGCTGGCCTTAAAATAACTGCTTGAGGCCTGGAGCCTATAAGGTGCTGAGCACGCTCTCCCTGAACCCGCAAAGCACTATTAGGGCCAGAGCGCTCAGCAGCTTGCAGGGTAGAGCCCTGAATGCCCAGTGCATAGAACTCCTCCAGTTCCTCCTACTAACGGATTCTGTGTCAAATCAGTGCTGCTGGATGTGTACTTTCCTTCAGTTTCAGAGGAAAACACCAGCCACTCAATGAAGTTGATTGGAATTAAAATCCTCCAAATCTCTTTAAATGAAAAGGTGACATTTATATGTAATTTAATTTCAAAGGGTTTGATTGTGCCTTTAGGGCACAGCCATACATTGGGGCTATGTGGAACTGCACAGCCCCAGGGCCAGGCATAATCCCTCACCAAGCTTCCTTATCCTAGCAGGCAGTGCGCAAACTGCTTTGTCTTTTAGGGTAGTGCATGGTGCAATCTGCTATCCCTAATGTTTGAGTGGTGGAAGGCACCGTTAGGGCCATAGTCTCATCTCCTCCCTTGGGGGCTATGTGGACCTCTAAGGGTT